GGAAAAACTGCCCTACAATCATCAGGCACATTGTCCTTGAGTTTGAGACAGAGGCAGCAACTTGGAAACCAAATACTGGAGATGGATGGGCTTGCGTGCTCACAAGAGCACGTCTGTTTTCTGCAGCGATGTCTGTTGGTCTAATAGAAGCTCTTTGGTCTCACCTTGAGCTTTACCTAAGCCTTAGGTGATCACGGCTCTGAAAATCATGGCTTGTTACTAGCACTGACCCTGTTATGCTATTCCTATGGCTGAGATGGCCCAGTCTGCCCCTCTAATTACATGGTCTATGACCCTTCACAGCCCTTCTTTAATCCCTGTTATTCCCTTCTTCCAAACGCCGACTTACCTTCTGGTATTCTTTGCCTTTGCTTTTCTCCAGCCTTGCCAGCTGGTTTTCTCTCAGGCAGAATTGCAAGCGTGGATGGCCAAAGGCAGAGATGTTGCTTCCTTGGGTTTCTGGCAGGCCTTGGGCCTCTATCCGGAAGACCCAAAGCAACTCTTGAGAGCTTTTGAGAGGGGCTGGGCTCTGTGAAGGGTGCTGGCCATGGAGATTTCTCCAGCACAGCAAGTTCTGCACTCCCACTCAACCTGGATGGGGCCCATCTCTGTCCTGGGGCTACTGGCAGCTGAGCCCATCCACAACACTGCTTCTCATAAGCCAGCTGCGGAACAGCTGTGCATGCTGTCCCCTGCTCTCCACCCCAGCGAGAGCTGGTGCTGCATTGGGGCCCTGCTTCCTGAGTGTGCCAGCATCCCTGTGTGCTGGCCCAAAGGGAAAAGCCTTTGGCCAGGATGGGCTAACCTTCTCACCTGGGAGTCTGGGGACATGCAATACACCCACAACCTGCTAATGAGCCCAGGAAGCAATAGAGAGTGTTTGTTTGACAGGGCAATTAAATGATAGCTGATTCCTGGAAAAGCTACTTAACTTATCCTTACCTGGACTTATCATAGCCAGCATCTGTGCTGAGGGTCCCACTGAGGGCTGGCCATTCCTGCCAGCAACCCACAGACCTTCTATGTGAGGAGGGAAAACACTCCAGGCTCATCCTGCAGGGAGCTGGACCAGGCCAGTGGGGAAGCAGTGTGGAGCTGGGGTACGTGAAGCACAGAGCTGAATTTGGTACATCTCTATTTTCATGCCTTAATTTGGTTCCTTTTATCCAGCACTTGCTTCGAGAGATGCAGAGTAAATACGTAGTTCTGCTTTTCCGATTCTGCTAGGGAAGAGTGCCACTAGTGCGGAGAGCATGGGAGAGCCCTTGTCTTACGGGGTGTTTACGGGAACGGCTGCCCACAGGGAAGAGACAGTTTATTGTGGAGCCAGCATCCGCTAGTCTCTGTGATATAGCTCAGCCTGACTGCAGTAACAGTCCAGCTCAGTCAGTGCATAGAAACTGCCTCCTCCCAGGTGTGCCCTCCCTCTGGGCTCAAGTTGTGTGTGTA